AAAATCTAGACAAATCTTAATAAGAACAATACAATCTTATCAACATAAAGCGTCCAACTTTATGAACCGATTGTAAACGACATAATTTTGATCACATCACGAATTGTGTTTTACTATACCCGATCCATCAAGTATACAATTTGTGACATCCTATATGATCATGGAACCTTAGATAATCACTTCAAATTATAACACGTAAATAAACGAACGTCAATTCATAATGTGATTTTACAGAACACTATTCGAAGAATGGGCATCAAGCTAACAGGGAATTCAAGCATTCATCCCGGAGGGCTAAATTATCCTCGGTATTTTATGGCCTGTACTCAACTTGGACTGGCAAGAGATGGAGCTCAGCTTCATGGAAGAATCATTAAACTAGTTCTGGAATTTGATCCATATATATGGAATTCTTTTATACATATGTATGCAAATTGTGGGCTTCTGGGGTATGCTAGAAAATTGTTTGATAAAGATAAGGATTTAGATGTTGCCTGAAAATTCTGTGATTATGGGACTTTCTAAATGTGGAGAAATCAATGAGTCTGGTAGATTGTTCGATAAAATATCATTGAGAAATGAGGTTTCTTGGAATAGCAGAATGGTTATGCTAGAAATGGGAAGTGGATCGAGGCATTAATGGATCCTTCCAGCAAAATGCAAGAGGAGAAAATAAGGCCAAGTGAATTTAATTGAATGTTATCGTAGTAGCAGCTATCGTGGACATGTACTGCAAATATAGAAACGTTGAAATGGCGCGCCAAGTTTTTGAGGCTGTCCAAAGGAAAGGAATATCATATTGCAATTCAATGATGTTGGAAAGATGAAGTGACTCAACCGTTCTCCAGGCTTGAATCGTAGAATCTTGAACCAGATTCTGTGAGAGCCTGCAATCACACATAACAGGCCGATTTGCAAGAAAGCACGTATAAAATTCAGCCGTCGATAGAACACTGTGGTTGTCCGGTTGACGTGTTAGGCGGAGCATGACGTGTGGAAGAAGCAGCCAAGCTCATAAGTATGCCAATTAGCCCTGATGCTGTAATATGGGGTTTGCTATTAGCAGCTTGTAGGAATCACCAAACATTGTTATCGCCAAATGGGCAGCAGAAAATTTAATGGATTTAGATAAAAATTAGATGAGGGGCTGTTTTGATGTCTAATGTTTATGCAGCCTTGGGATATTTTGAAAAAGCGATGGAGCGAAGAATTGCAATGGAGAACAAGCAGATAGAGAAACCACCAGGATGTAGATTGATTGAAGAGAATGAAGTTCTTGAGGCATCTGGTGGGGTGCTACATTCTCAAGTCCAAGATATGTACTTCTCATTGAATGAACCAATTGTTGTTAAGGTTTAAAAAAGAGAGTGCCTGAAAATAAATTGTTCTAGTTATTAGACACTGAATTAATCTACTTTTACAAAGTTAGTTTACAAACTAAGTATTGACAAAATCTAGGCCATTGATTCCAAAAACTATTTTTAAAATGATTGGTCTAATTGTTGTAGTTTGCAAAACAAATTTGTCATTCTAGTTTGTACAAATAGCATAATTCTTAGACACTAGATACAACTATTTTATTTAAATTTAGTCTACATATTCATACATAACATGATGCCTATATACATTGTCTTCATATAAATGTATACAACTTTCGTAAATAAGAAACAGCTAAGACGAATGTGAACCTCGTAAACTATTAAGGGCATGGTTGTGTATGCTCAAACATGCTCTAAACCTAAAGGAATTGTAATTATATGAACAATAAAAGAAGCGTGTCAGTGATAAAGAAACAACATGGAAACAAATTTAGGGCTTGTTCGGTAATGATTTTGATAATTGATTTTTTGACTGTTAGGGAGAAAAGTGGAGGCCACCTGTGAGTGAAGAACTTAAAAATGACGATTATAATAGTGAAATAACGGTCAAATAATCAATTTTTTTGAGTGAAAAATCACTCTAAAACGGGGCCTTATTATGGTTCGGGAATTTCCTACGTTGACCTCGACCTCTTCAAGAGACCAATCTTTTAGTACTTTCTCTCATCACAACTAATAGTATCCATTTTTTCATCTAAAATTTAACGTGTTCTATTTTAGTGAATATATGAGTATGAGAATTAAACTCGCGATTTTAAATTACTTCATTTGAAAATTTTAAACTATGAGATGATGCATTGAACACACAGGACTCAAAACTGTTTGGCCTCCATTTTTGGTAATGAAAATAGGGGGAATAGTATTTTGTTGAAAAATGGATGGTTGAAAAAGAAGGAAAAATTTTCGATTTACGTGTAATATTATTTTATGGAAGATTGTGTAGTTGAAAATAAAAGAGAGAAAAATAGAATGTAATGAAATGTAATTTAATGAGGATCAAACAGGGGCTGTATCAAACGGAGAAGAAAACAATTACTAACAAGCATTTGTTCCTATTGTTGCAAAATAAATAAATAATTATTAAAAAAACATGAAACATATTTACTGTAACTTTGAATGATAAATTTGCATAAATGATCCAAATCAATGACTTAGTGTCAATTTGTTTAAATTCTTAAAACCATAGAACACAATTTAAATATGCTATGTGTACATATGCTATTTTTCCATAAATACTTAAAAATCTCATAATTTTATATGAAATGTCTCATTTAAATATTTAGTTGTTATTGAGGAAATTCGAAGCATGATATTTGCCAGCTCTGCTCTGGTATCATATTAAACTAGTGGCGGATTCAAACTTCTCATCTTGAAGGAAAAAATAAATAAATAAATAAATTGAGGGGGGCAATATGTATTATCCATTACATTTATATTAAAAATTCATAATTTCTATGTGAATTTAGAAAAAAAATTTGAAAATGTTGCAAGAGCTGTCGCTATAAAGTCTCATCTAAAAGTTTTTATTGTTAAGAAAAAACATTTGTTTATTTAAATTTATGGAAAAAATAAAATAAAATAAAAATCTGAGCTTAGATTAACCTAAGCTTCACAGCTCAAGTAATAAGAAGCTAACTGAAAAGATGTCCTCAAAACCTTATAATTTGTTGAATACAGCTGTTAGACTTGGGTTGTGTACTTATTTGTACTTTGACATTGTGGTGAACCACAATTTCTAGAATTTTAAGGTGGGTCGAGTTGTTAAAGAACCGGCATAGTCAACCTTTTTGTCACAGCAGCACATCAAATGTAAGGTCAAAGGTGCATCGGTAGTCCTTACCATCAAGAACAACCCTATTTGCTGCCAAACAAGGCCGTGCAAATGGAAGACTAAGTTAAACTAAAGTCAAGTATCCCAACCAACTTTATACTTCAAGTTCAATGTCTTCACATGAAAGGGCAAAAAAATGTCGCATCATCTCATTTCTCGTGTGTGAAAGGGGGCAATGAGAGAGTTAAATGTAATACCTTCGTGTGTCTCGATATCATGTTAAAGCTTAAATTTTCATATAAATTCAGCAATTTTCACGTACTTCAGTTAATTTAAGAATTCTATCCTATCTTATTTTATTTGGATTAAACTAATTGTACACGTGATTGATAGCTTCCTTCACATTTCCCTGTGTCAAAATTTTTACCGTTGGTTGTTTAAGGTGGTGTTAAAATCAATGTGTAAAAAGCTCTCGTCTCACTAATTTGTCAAACATGATGTCAACGAAGATGTACATGAACATGATTGATTCTATTTTTCAACTAGAATTGATGATCATATTACTGTTGCATACTGTTAGGTCTGGACAAAAAATAGTGCTCCCAAATTTAACGAGGAATGCCTGGAGTACATGGAGGGGCTCACAGAACCACTCCAAAATACTCCCGATACAAGGGGTGGGTGGGGTTTTTTTGGCAATATTTTACTCGCATGGAGCAGACCCATGTGAGTATTCTGGAATTGTTCTGTGACCAATTAGTATGTAAACACAAACTAACTCAAATTTAATTGTAGAGACAACTAGGTTCTCTGTCTCCCACTCTTGTGTTTACAGAAATTGCCTGAGTGTGCCATATGGAGCTGCCAGAAAAAAGTAGTCCCCACACAGGTCCTTTTCTACACAAGCACAGCCCCTGGTTCATGCTTGCGTACTTTATCCACTTGATGGGAGAAAGAGAGGGAGTCGGGTGTGTTCCGGTCCACTCCGGTCAGGTCAGGTCGAGAAGGGGGACAGGGGCGGGGTTGCAATATATGTGGCAAAAAACTGAAAGAAAAAAACAAGCTAGCAAGCATCATGGAATGATGATCATAATCGAGTGAAACACATGGAAGGATGGTAAAAAAATAAAAATTATGATCATGATATGTTTTTGAAGACCGGCAATTAGTCCACGAAACGAATCTGTACAAACAACACTCCATCTCTCGCTACTGCATCTAAGTGACAGCAAACACACTGAAAGAGCCGCCGATGATTCAAGAATTTAGAACTGACTATCCCTTTTTCTCGATAACTCGACTAACATATAGGAATATTTAAAGAAACAAATTTCGAAATTGTGAATAGCACTAGGAGGGGGAGAAGCAATTATTCACCCGAGGGATTAAGTCTGTCAGTTATAGCCGTGGTTTGGTTCAGATATATGGCGCTCTGATTGTCCTACCCCGCTGCTTTCCTGATCAGCTGAAGAACCACGGCCCTCCTTTGTTGATTCGATTTCCATGCTGGTTCTGCTTTTTCTCGTCCTCCGATCCTGCAGCAAGGGAAAATTTGAAGTTCGAGGCGTTAATCAAGTAGACCGTTTATGACTTCAAATTGTTCATTGAAGTCCCAATTTACATTATGAATCAGTAAGAGGGTTAAACAACCACGTGAAAGATGCATGAAATCAAATATATTGTAGTTACACAAGGTTAATTTTGATATACATCTCCACCTAGACAGGAACATTCATAAACAAAATTATTATATCCAAGGTGATTCACAAGCTATGTTGCACCAACAGTTTGCTGGAGACAGCATGTCAGTGTCCAAACGAACATCGACATGCGCTGGACGAGTCTCACAAATAACACATGGCATGTCTTTTTTCAGATCTCACAAGTTCATGGACATGACAAAATGCAACAAGTGCTCTGAAAAAATAGAGAAAAACTAAACCTACCAGCAAATGCAATGAAAAATGCCATGGTTGACAAGTGAAGTGGAAATAACTATCGCCGGGTGACTGTAGTGTAAGAGAGACACGGAGACACCCAAGCTCTTAGCATTATTTTCATATAGACAGACAGCACTTGAAAGTTGAAACCCTAAGGAGAAAATTTTATGTTTTTTAAAAATAAAAAATGCGCCCACATTTTTTTCTTAATTTTAAAAGTGGGTCAATCATGTATGAAGTTTAATGTCAAGTTTGATTTATATTCAACTAGAGTTTTAAATTAATTGATAAATAGAGTCCAATTACTGAAAATAGAAACAATGTAGCATTCAAAACTTTTAATACATGTAACATTGTGTTAATACTAAAGTGTTAGGCTACTTGAGATTGCTAACATATCACTCGATGAGCCAGTGTTGGAGTTTGTATTGTTAATGATAATGAAAAAGCTGATGGTGATGGTGTTGAAGCAAATGAAGTTGGAACATTTAAGGATTGAAGATAATATCATTTAGTATTTTATTTTATTGTTATTGTCAAGCTTGTATTTTAATTATTTTATAATAATGAAATTAATGCTGTATTTTATGATTTAACTTATGAAAAATATTACATATTTATGTATACACACGCACATGCGTATCCTAATTTTTTGAACAGTTGTAACCGCATAGCCATATCGTATATGAAACCGTGCTTCTTAGTTCACAAGCATCAAAATGGAGTAGGAAATTTGCCTTCATAAATTCGAAAGTACCAAGACTAAAGTGAAATCCTAAAAACAGCTATGAACAATTTATGGAGACAATTTCCTCTATGATGCGCTTGGATTTTGGGCAATGGGTTTTTAAGGAATTTCTGATCTGTAGAGTTGAGAGTTATTCTGTAATCATTCTCGTTAAATGGCTCTGTTTTCTACATTGTGAGAATTCACTAATGAACCAAGCACAGTAAATCTTTGGCGTGTTCATGTACATGCATTATACCTTTGTTAGACTCTTATTTATAATCTGTTTAAAACTCAACCAAATCAATTTTTTATCCACATATTTCATGAGACCCAGAAGTAGTGCCCACTTATCTACCATTCAATTCTATCTATTTATAATTTAAACTAATTATAAACAACTTTCAAACATGCTATTACTCTTTTCATGTGCCTTAAAGTGGATATTTTGCAAAAGCATTTTTTAAGTTGTTAGAAAGCAGTAAACAAAAATATACGCATGCAAAAACATACAGAACAAAGCAACTTAGCAACCTAAAGAAATTCAAAGACGGATATGATGAAACTGCACCTCGTGATAGGGGAATTCATCAGCTTCAAGCATTCGAACAACCTGACTCATTTTGGGTCGTTTTTGCGAATCAGGATCAACGCACCTAAGTGCAACCAGAAGCGCACGTTTCAAAGCACGTGTCGTGGGCCTAGCTTCAAGGTTAGGGTCCACAACTTCCTCTGCTCTTCTGTTCCCTACCATCATTTTGAGCCACTCAACAAGATTGACCTGCCATAACAAAAGTATTGAATATTACTGTTAACTGGAAGTACCGAACACTCACTTGGGTAGTATATATTATATTGAGGATTTACTACCTCTACAGCAGGACGTCCATAGTCCACAGGATCTCTTCCAGTAACAGCTTCTAGCAGCAGAACACCAAAACTATAAACGTCACTCTTTTCATTCAACAAGCCAGTATTTGCATATTCAGGAGCCACATAACTGATTTACATAAGACGTCAGTTTATTAATGTAGCATCAGATAACAACCACAGCTAATAGATAGAATAGACTCAGAAAAGCACTCATACCCAAACGTTCCCATCACTCTTGTTGTGATATGGCTCTCTCCGGATCCCAAGAGCTTTGCCAATCCAAAATCAGAAACCTTAGCATTGAACTCGTCATCAATTAGGATATTACTAGATTTTATGTCACGGTGAACAACTTTTGGTTCAATAGCTTCGTGCAAATAAGCAAGCCTGCAAACCCAACATGAGAGTTATCAAGGATAGAAGCGAAGGACAGGCGTTAAATTCTCATTAGTAGTTGAGCCTTCTGTCTAATTGATCATTTTGCATTTTAGTTCTATATACGAAATAAAAGTAGTCAACAACATAAAAATGGTAAACGTTGATTGGATGGTACAGAATGATAAAGCCTCGCTCAGATATTAAAAATGTCAAGATGACTTGGTAAATGATTGCATTAAATCTAATGGATGAAGTGATAAACAAAAGCAAGTTCGAATGGCTTGTGGTAAATGATCTACTTACGCTTTTGCGGTTCCAAGCAGAACTTTCATGCGGGCTTCCCATGTAAGGGTGCCATGCTGTCTCATAGCCCCATGAAGCCACTGCTCCAGGTTGCCATTGTTGACATACTCATATACCAACATCCTTTACAAAAATTATACAATCTCAGCTAATAGAATTGCAAGTAGAAAACACAGCTCAAGAAAATGTATTTGAGCATTCAACTACCAGAAGTCACCATAGTAACTTAAAAGCAGCTTCAAATCTATGTTTAACTAACCTGTGAACTCCTTCTATGCAATAGCCAAGAAGACGCACAAGATTCTTGTGTCGAACATGGCCTATGGCCTCTACTTCAACCCCAAACTCTTTCTCTGCTTGGCCACTGCAAGGCAATTGGTAATTCAATCACGAAAATCTGTCATACAATCTCTATAGAGAGGTATAGACAAATTTAAGAGAAGTTGGAAGAATACTCACAGATTATTAAGAAGCTTCTTAACTGCTACATCTGTTCCATTAACAAGTCTTCCCTGGTACACAACCCCATAACCACCTTCCCCTAGAATGTTCTCTGCCGAGAACCGATTTGTTGCTATTTCAAGATCCCTAAGTGTGAACCAATGACCCCATCCAAGATGGGATATTTCAGGTAAACCAACCAAAGGAGACGGCATCGCAAAACCATATGAAATTGTAGATTGTTTTCGGGCAGCCCCAGAGCTTCCTTCTTCTCCTGATTGAAAACTACATGCCCTTTCATGATGAAACATTGAACTGCACTGGCTGCTATTATCAACATCACTTGATTTGCTTCTACTCATATTAACTAACATCTTCTCTGAATTCTTATCACTTGATTTATCATTAAGAGTTAAAATTAAACTTTCCGTGCGATCATGCATAATTTGTTCCCCAACACTGTCAACCCTGATGTCCTTGGAAACGTTAGGGATTTGGCAAAGAGAGTACTTGTTCAAAGTTCTCCGAGATTTTCTCCGAAAAATAACCCACATTGATAAGATACCAAGAATCAAAACGATAAATGCACCCATACATATACAAATTAAAACCCATAGTTTAACACCTCCATACTCCTTTGATAACTCAGTCTTTAAATTTCCGGAAGACATCTACCGCAAACTGGATGTGAATAAATAATTATGCTTTGTTCCCTAAGATCCCGTCTCGAATTTAATCCATATACTCCTGGATTCCATAAATATGAGATGACCATTAAAAAAAAAAAAAAAAAAAAAAAAAAAAAAAAAAAAAAAAAAAAAAAAAAAAACACACACAAATGGCAAGCTATGCACGTAAGTTTCAGCAATTCTGACGATAAATTTCCATTGTACCTAGTAGATTTTGCCCAAGATAAACCAGATTTCACCATTTGAAGAAAAGCAAAGCTCAACAGAAAAAAAAATTGACATAATACTAACGCAAAATATTATATCACAATTAATGTTTTTGAGAAAATATGAAACCATATACGCCTAATTTTCTGGGCACTTAACGAATCAGTAAAATTCCATTTCAAGAGAAACCATGTGGAAGCAAGAACCATCATATAAATTACAGCATTTTAATAATAAATTAAGCAGAAAATTAATACCCGTGAATTTACATCATCAAATCTAATCCCCAACATAAATCTTCGGAAAAAATAGAAGAAAATCAAGAAATGCAATACTTATGATTAAAGAACAAGAAATATAAAGAGCTAGTTTGAAATCCAAAAGAAAGCTATTACCTTTGCAAATGATATGAACTTAACAACTCGATCTTCTTCCCTGAAGATCAAAAAAAGAAAAAAAGAAAGGGCCTTCTGTGTAAACAGATCCTAAATGAGCCTAGATATGTTGCCAGTGCGGAGAGGAAATACAAGAATACCACAAAAGCCAGAAAACAAAAAAATAAAGTAAAAAAAAAAAAAAAAATAGAATAGCCAACAAAAAGTTCAGCAGCTCAAGAGGAGTAGTTTACAAGTAGAGGGTGTGGCCTGCAGTGGGCCAAAAGAAGTCAAGAAAATAATAATAATTTTAGTGCTAATAATTAAAGAATTTACTAAAATCTAATCTTCACAAGAACACCCATTTTCCATTTTCATTTTTAGAGACTTGATTTTCTTTTTCCTTCATAAAAGCTCTGGTGGGTGAATTGTTTTTGTGGGGTTCTATGAATGTGAAAGAGGGTCCTCAAAAAGCTGGAAAGAAGACTTAGCTTGCAATTTAAAGAGAGAGAGCAGTAAAGTAAGGCAAAAATGATACTACGACAAATACACCATCTATAGCTGCCTGTGAAAATATATAGCCAAATCTATGATTGTTTGACAAATTTTCCAGTCCAAAAAATTAAGAAATTATATATTTGTCAACTCAAACGTTTGAAATCTAAAAATAAAACATTCGAGAGCCTGTTTGACACAATGTGGCGGTCATTGAATGTGCGAAGCAATAGGTTTGTTTTGCTTTGAGATTGTTAATATCCAAAATTATGACATAGTATTAATGAAGCTTTTACAATTATATTACATGAGAATATAAAATCTAGATAGTAGATTTATGGAATGCTCCTTCCATCCCATTTATAGAGGTTAATTTTATTTTCACACGAATTAAGAAATCTTATTTAGAACATGTTCGATAATGATTATGAAAATTGATTTTTTGACATTTAAAGAAAAAAATGAGTCTCATTTGTGAACAAAGAAGTCAAAAATAATTTTGAAATAGTGAAATAACGGAAAACAAAATTAATTTTTGGGATGAAAAATTGCTACCAAACAGGATTTTAATGTTATTGATAAAGTAATTTTTGTCAATAACTTTTCTAGTATATCCTTATTTATATTTGAATAATTTCAAGATTAAGGTAGAAAAATTAGTTATGACTATGCAAATTATATAATGGTATATTAGTAAACAATCAAAACAAAACACTCTCAATAAATAAACAAGACTATATAATTGAAACAAGAAAATAAGGACAATTAGCCTACATAAATGGGATAGATAGAGTATTATAATTAGAGATTACGTGTTTTTCATAATAATGTCATATTTTTATCACACATTAGCATCTTTTCTTGCATTTTATGGTGGTAAAGCATTATGAATTTGAATTTTATCGATAAAGAAATTGACAAAAATGTTAATCTTATCAAGAAAAAAAGATCAAAGATGACGCAATATTGTTAGTTTCAAGTTGATCTATAAGTAAAATGGTATCGTCGATTAAATAACTCCATAAATGCTCGATTTTCAAAAAAGGTAAAAAGTAAACTCTATAAATTCCATTTATGGATTCATTACATAGATCATTTTATGTCAATGAGCTTCTGTTGCACTCCAAAAAAAATAAAAATAAATAAAAAATCATTTGAATTTTAATTATAACATAGTATACACTATATGATACTCCATAAACACGTATAAAATTTTGTCGGGAATTGGACTAGATAGAGTATTAATGAAAATTCTAGAACAAAACTTTTCATGAACAAATTATTCGATTATGTAAGAAGAACTGATAATTGGATTAGAGCTAGAACCGAATTAAATTGACTAATTCAAATAAAAATGTCTACTTCGATTCTTTAACTAGATCTATGCCTGTTTGGTGGCACTTTTCATCTAAAATTTAAGCCATTATTGGACCATTCTCTGCCGCAATTGTTGACTTCCCTCGCACTCAAATGCAGATGTGGGACCTACTAACGGTAAAAAAAGAAAAAAAAAAAGAATTTTAATCAGCTAAATAGTGCAGCCAAACAGGCGCCTAATATTAATGAAAGACTTCCATCACTTTTCAATGTAAAATTTTCGCAGATTCAATTGATGATTTTTTGACTAAAGAAAATTAATTTATATATTTTTCTCCAACGGTTATCGAGGGCAATTTAGTCAATTCAACATTGTAAATAAATGTGATTTTCTTATAATTATAGTGTCATTATTAGGAATAAAGCCCCCATTAGAGGAGGAACAAAGTCTTTGATTTGAAGCATAAACTTTTCATTAAAGTATGACTTAACAAAACCCTCTCAAATCTTTATCTCGATTAATTAGGTAAATTATAAGTATTAAATTGTAAATAAATCCACTTGTGAGGGCCCACATTAGTAGTCCAACTCTAAAGAATTTTGACCTCCAGGAACAATCAGAGCCGTTGATATGGTTTTAATTTTCGACCTTATTTTTAATTTTATTCACAACCTTTTTCTATTCACGTAATACTTGTAATAATGTATAAATAACATTGAATCTTGTCGGCTTTTCGACCGCTTCGCTTCTTCTCAAGAGTTCACATAATCTACACATTTGAGGGGTACAATGAATAATGGAACGTAAAGCAAGAAGCGGCTATGGAATATAGCAGATTATTCATCGATCGAAGGAAAGTGACGAGAGACTCATGGAAGAGCCACTTACTCCAACTACCATCCATGTATAATCCATATTAGATTTGACCAAATAACCCTAATTTGTAAATTTTTATAATTTTGATCGTGTAGCAATAAATAGTAATGTTAGGAAACACCTTAACTTACCTCAAATCAACAAAATTTTGATTCGTATTTCCATCCAAGATAAAATGTCAACAATAAAAAGTAATTAGAATTATTAAAAAAAAAAATTACAAATGTTCAACTTGACAATTTATTAATAACTATCACATTCCTAGTCGCTGGAATTTCAGTGACATTTTATAAGAATTTCATAATTTGTTGTTTTCTTTGTGTCTTCTTAATACTAAAATTTGATGCTCCTCTTTTAAGATGCTTGCACGAGGCCCTTTTTCAATTATCTATTATTTTTTTCCAATAAAAAAAAAGAACAATTTTTTTTTTTTTAAATTTCCCTCCATATCCATTCCATTATTTTATCAAGACTCAAGAAAGAAAAATAATTACACGGAGATGTCACTTTTAGGAAGGGCTTAGCAGTGCGTGAAATAATTATATATTAACATCTTCTACCAGGGAAACCACATCAATGAAGAGAATAATAAATGAGAAAATTATTCGTGTGTGTGTGTGTGTGTGTATATATATATATATATATATATATATATATAGACTTTTAAAAAGTGATAGTCATGTTTCTTGTAGCTTATTCCTATGCCAATTCAATTCTTGCCTTCTTAACTCTCTTTTATCCACAAGAAGTGTAAAGTAAACGAATCATAACTACACCATCTTTTATAAGTAAAATAATTAAGTAGAGTATAGTTTCAGTTGAATTAACGAGTTACATTTGATTTATCATTTCACAGATGGAGAAGCACTTGGCATTTGGTAGTACATTTTTGCACCATAATAATTGGGTCAGTCGATGCGTACATCAATCCGTAATTATCCTTGATAGAAAGATCCAAAAGAATAATCTTCAATATGGTATTTCGGTTTAAAATGGAAACAACTTTACGAGAGATAATGATCATCCTGCCAACGGGAAGGCGACAAATGTGAATTAGGGTTGTTCAACGAGTTACATTTGATTTATCATTTCACAGATGGAGAAGCACTTGGCATTTGGTAGTACATTTTTGCACCATAATAATTGGGTACATCAATCCGTAATTATCCTTGATAGAAAGATCGAAAAGAATAATCTTCAATATGGTATTTCGGTTTAAAATGGAAACAACTTTACGAGAGATAATGATCATCCTGCCAACGGGAAGGCGACAAATGTGAATTAGGGTTGTTTAATTGTGCAAGTAATGTACGTGTACGCAAGAACGTGACAGTCTGTAAATTTTTAAAGTTAATATGTTACCAATTAATTGTGATTAACATGAAACTAATGCCAACGGTTTCAAATAATAATGCCTGCCACTATCTAGCTAGCCCTCAAAGTGGTAAATCGCCATATCCCCCCGAATAGAGACTTCCTCTCCCAATTCAGGAAGTAGAAAATGGCCAGTTGGGAATGATCAAAGATCCATTGGCAACAACACAAATGACTAGAGTTTTTTTTTTTTTTTTCAACTGAAAATGGTGCTGTATTTCCATTTTGATTGTAGACAAAACTGGTGGTAGCAATAGGTACGTGGTTCCAACGACTTTATGATCGTGGATTATTTTATTGTTTGACGTTAATAATAATTAATTTAGTATCTAAAAAATGGAATCATGAACTAGTCATATAAATCACTTTTGAAGACGATTCAAGAGAATAATAAATGAAGAGTATCGAGTATTTATGTTCGATTACGATGTCATTTAAATATATTTTCTATTCATAGACTACATTAATCGATATTGAGTACATAAGGCTGAATTTTTATGATAAATTAAATATATAAATTAAGAGTTAATTAAATCATTGCTCACTAATATTTAGGTCAGATTACTACTTGCTTACCTAAAAACAAGAGGTAACTGATTGCTAACTCACTTTTGTTAAAAATTGGTCATCCATCCACTTGGACAAAAAATTACACATACGGATGGAAAATCCTACGTGGCCACTAATTGTGTTAAAAATTGACACATGAACAAAACACATTCCAGCAAACACATTTTCTCTTAAAAATTGGAAGAATCTTTCTCCACCATCATCATCCCCACCATCACCGCAACCTCCTGACCTCTACCCCCACCTTCACCACCTTGTCACATTATAGTGTTGAATAAGAAACCTCTATTTCTATCAATGCCAAAATCAGTAATCCCACTTTCCAAAACAGAGATTTGTTACTTTCCATAAATAATACTCACTCCAGTTTTACTTACCAAAATCTTGACTTTCTTCAAATAAATTAACTGCCTCCACATTTTCTAATTACCTCTAAAAAAAAATCTTAATTCACACTATTGCATGTGATGAAATAACATCAACAAACCATAGCAGCGATTTTGCGATCGAAGCGTCCGGTGGAAGAAAAAGGTTATCCTTTGCTAGGATTTTCTAACTGGAAGATGAGATAGCAATTATTGTATGTTAGGGACGGATTCAAGATTAGATCCAAAATCGGAGTACAAAATTTCAAACCGAACTACTGTACACACACAATATATATATATATATATATATACACACACACACACACACACACACAAAAATGGTTTTTTACCCAAAAAATAAAATAAAGAATACCTTAAAAAAATGTTCTTAGGCCTGAGTGGGGTGGGGGGGGGACTACAACCCAACCTCCCCAAATCCGTTTCTGTAGTCTGTGCTGCGTTTCTTACAATTTCGACTTGTATTTGTTTGACTTTATGTTCAGAATAAAACT